ATGCATGTGCCAGCCAGATGGGGGTGGAGGGGCTCGCACACAGCGCCACCCACCACTCTGCACCACTTTCCCACAGCTAGTCTCACATACAGCTCTGCAGGCTGCTGGTAGGCAGTGCACAATTGTCTGGGTGGAAGGCCCAGCAGCAGCCTGCGAAACTACACATGCGACCGGCTGTGGGAAAGTGGCTCAGGGTGGTGGCAGTGGCAGCTATTGCATGTGAGCTCCCTGCCCTTGGTCAGCCTGCAGAGGGGCACTACTGCCCTCGCACCCCCCCCCGCCCCCAGCCCTGCTCCTGGAAGCAGGTATGAAAACACCCCCCTCCCCCCTTTGCCATTCTCAGTCTGATCCCCCCAGTCCCTTCCCTCTCCCCCACCCTGCCTCTTCCCCTCCCCCACACTTATCTGCTGGTGTGTGTGTCAGCCTGCCCATCCAGCAGCAGCAGGCACATGGCATTGAGCAGCTCTTGGGGCAGCAGCAGCAGGGTGCAGACTCCAGCCTGCAACAGCAGCTTTCTCTGCCCCACGTGCAGATCTGGGGGGCACGTGCCCTGCAGGCCTCCACCAGGGTGTGCACAGCAGCAGGAGCCGCCCCCCCTCCCTGCACCCGCCGGATGAATCGCTCGTGTGGCTCTGTCCTGCATTTCACCCCGGCTGTGGAGCACCTGCCCCTGTCCCAGACCCACTCCTACTCCCTCCCTCACCATGGGGGCCTCAATCTTCCCCTGCCACCCTGCCCCTTAAAAGCAAGAAAAAAATATAAAGGGGTACGTGAGCTGAAACTTTGAGGCAGAAGGGGTATACTTGTTAACAAAAGGTTGAAAACTTCTGCCCTAAGGAATCCTTGGCTCTTGCATAATTTCTGGACCATCATGGCTACAGCGTTACTCTTATGGTACCTTCCACAAATACAAGAATTTCTAGGAAAAAATTTCAAGCATTTTAAGAGGTAAGGTTTTTATGTGTAATGTCTCTTATTGGACCAACTGCATGATTGAGATGGATTAAATAAATTCTAGACTAAATTTTCTCCAAAAGCCTGGCTAAAATATGGACATGCCATCTTGAGATACAGCTGCATGGTATTGCAGTATTGTGGTACCCAAAAGCTTGTCTAAGTCTTTCCCAACCATTCGCTTGGTCTAGTAAATGAGAATCACCCACAAAAATCCATGCCTCTTGCATATTTCCTGAACTGTCATGGCTACAACACTTAAACATTTTACTTAAATGCTACCAAGGCATTTTAAAAGAATGTATTAAGCAGTCTGCTCCTTTATAATAAATGCTTAGGCCTCTGATTGGATGCATTCTTTCCAATTTGCAAGACACTTTACATATTATCTTGTTCAAAACATCTTTATTTAGAGATTGGCATGGTCTTTGTTATTAACAATTTTCTATAAATGTTAGTTGTACTGTGCACTCTTCATGCCAACTTAGAAAAGACCAGTTACTAATGAACGTGAAGAGAAAGGAAGTGATATCATGAAAAGGTATAGACAAACTAATTCTCCATGTGAGAGGATTTATATTTTGAATGGCAAGTCAAAATTCTGTATTTGAATACAGCTGCTCTTGCACTTCTTATTAAACAGAGCTCATTACTGTCTAAAGGCCTCTTTTGAAGTCTGTAGAAGTTAGAAAGAAGAGGCCAGTTTTATTTCTCTGTCAGTTGCAGGTTTCTTAAGTACCCTAAATAAAGAATGCAATACAGTGGTATTTCTTGGAACATGGTAGCTATTTCTCCAAGTGCATATTGAAAACTTGTGCCTGAAGTGTTACCACTTAAAAGTAACGTTTTGGTTTTTATGCAATGTGCCATCAGTCAGTTCACTGTTAATAACTTCAGTGCTGGTGAAAATTGAAGTTTATCTTTTTCTGTTTCTTTTCCCCCTTTCCTGCAGGTGAAGAAGAAAGTGCTTCACGACCTTCTGGGTGGGCCTCATACCTTCACAGTTGGTCAGGACTTCGATGAGGCAACAGACAAGCTGAATCTTCAATACTTACATTCCATGATTGCACTAAGAAAGAAATGCTAATATACAAGAATGAAGCATACATAAATAGCAGTGGCAGTTTTATTTTTTTTCAAACTACCTGCAGCAGCATATGTTAACCTAAGAATTAGAGTAGAAAGTTTTTAAAGAGTTTACTATATTATTTTCTGACTTCAGTAAACTATACTTTTTTGTCATAAACATTTCAGATTAAATAAGCTTGTGATTGAGACTAAAATGTAGGGTTAAAAAGTGTCAAACTGGTCAGAACTTCCAGTTTTATCATTTAAAATGGAGCATCATTTAAAAACTGAAACAATACTAAAATACTTCTAAGACTTAAAAACCCTCGCTGATGAGAAATGAAGCAAATTAGCAACCTGCATTGTCATTACACATTAAAAGAAGCATAAAATCAAACTTTTTCCTCTGCATGGCGATGTTTACAAAATATTGCACTGCAGACACTTTGGAGATGAAGGGCATTTTCTTTTTCACTTTAGTTATTTTTTAGTCTCAGATTGCAGTGAAAAAAAATTAAAATACAAGTCCTAAGGTGTGAGAAATGTAGTGGCTCTGATAACTCTCATAACATCTCATGTTTGTGTTACGTGGGCTCATAAGGGTTTCCTGATGCTCATGGTTTGTTTTAGGAAGTCATATCAGCCTCCCCTAAGAGTCAGTGGCATAAGCAAGTTGAAATAGTAGGAGAAAGAACTTAATCTAAAGTCTTTCTTTCTCTGAGGGTGGAACATTCATAAGAAGTCTAAAGCCAAACAGTGCAAATGGTACCTACTGCTTGTAATGGTCCTGTTGTTAAATGACTTTCAGTATAACTGCTGGCAGAAGAGGGGGAGAATACTTTCCTGTGAAAATGTTATCACTGTATGTGGTATATAATTTCCTTAAGCAAACTTCATTCCATTCTCACTCTTCCACATTCCACCTATCCCTTGTGGTCAGGTGATATGTGCTTTTAAGTCCTTTAATTTAATGGCATTTCTGGAAAGTGTATGGGAGCAATATCTGCAAGAAAGGAATGTTATTGGATCTGGGTGTAGCTGTTCCCCTGTCTACTGGGCCAGAGTGATTTTAGCACTGTATGAGGGCCCATCAGAACGGAAGAGAGAAAAGACTGGGTACCAGCCGAGAAGAATAGATATACACTTCTTAAACAGGCTCTAGTTGTGGAATCTTAATTGGCTCATAAATGAGCCAGAAGGGGTATCCGGTTTATCTTCCTATGTGTAACACAGTAAATGCACCTATTATAAACAAGGGCACTCTTTCAGCTTCTGTCTTCTGTTCTGTGTTTTCTGTCTTTCCTCCTAACCCATTCTTTCTCTCTCCTCTATATAT